TGAAGATACTCAAAATTTAGCCAAACAAGGCGCTGGAGAGCCTGCGCTGGATAGCCTACTCTAGATTGGCCTGGTTTGAGCAGGGGAATTGGATTAAGTGACCTCCAGCAGTCTCTTTCAAACTGAATAACTCTGTATGATGCTGTAGTGGGCATGTTACCCTTGGCTTGGGGATGCCTGCTTCAGGCACTGTAAATAGAGAAGTAACAGTAATTTGGGACTGGTTTAGTTGCACATGGTCAGAAGTGGTGGTGAGAACTCAATTTGCTTAGGCATCCAAGTGTCACCTCTGTTTTGGGAGATATTTTTTTTTTCCCCAACCTTGATTTTTTCACCATGATCATCTTAACACAATTCCTCCACACACACCCAAAAATACCTTTTGCAATGGATATTTTGTGTATAAGTGCTTTTGAGTAAAGCATCAATAGCTGTTTGTATTTAAAGGATTGCTGAAAGCAGAGGTATGTTCTGCCTCTCAACCCTTCTTCCTAACTTACTTACTTGCTGGTTTATGTACAAGCAGTCTGTTTTCTTCTGACAGACAAAAGCTTTTATTTTTTCCAGTCTTAGAGGTGTAGGGGATGTTGAGTCTTGTCTTTGATGTCATACTTGGTACGTTTTCTTGGAAGGTGCCAGATAAATGAATTGAGACATGTGTTGTTCAGTAATGGGAGGAGTTTTTTTTCAAGCTTGTAGGGTATGTGAGTAAAATATCTACAAATAAACCAAAAATATAAAAGATATGCACTGATATATTTTCATTTTTTTCTGTTAGTCTTTACCTAATCAGTATTTATGATGTGATGATTCTACTACAGCATAAATCTTCTATAGTGTTTTTAGGGATAAATGGTACAAACAAGAATTCAGTGAGTAAAAAAAATATGAGCACAGCAGAAAAGTAGGCAAAGAGCAAAAAACTGTGGTATAAGACCTCCTCAGGTTGCCTTCCCATGTAAATGTGAAGTTGGCATTCTATGTAAAGCTGTCATTCTTTTAGTCCTGTTTCTGTGTAAATAGCTTCTGACTTGAGTGAGGCTCTTTCATTTCTTAAAAAGAATTGTATGAAATCAGTGGTTAAATAGTAGATAAATTAGTCTGCCCCCTGAAGAAAACACTATGAAGGGGGCTGATGCTGTTCTGTTTGGCTTACTAACCAATGGACATAGGTAGAGTTGCTGGGCAGTTAGCCAGCGATTTGCTTCCAAACAGCTGCAGTGTATGGTCTCTCTTACAGGGACACAGGAAGGAATGGAGGGTATTAAGTAGGTATTAAGGGAGACTAGGGAAACGAAAGGAATTGCAGGGAATGGGAATTGTAAGGACTTAGAGGGGAACTGGGTTATTGCAGGGAGGGAACATAAAAATACAGAACAAAAATCCATGAAAACCAGTTTTCATTAATTCTGCTGCTTATGTAACTACTGATTTCTTTTGAGGATCGCTCTTAAAACATCTGTGTCATAAAAGAATTTTCAAAGTAAATGAGTTGCCCATATTGTTGTGGACTTGTTTAATTTGAATTAATTGAAGTGTCATCTGTATCTCATTAACCAGCTGCACAGAGGCTGTGTGGCAGGAATACCAGAGTTTTCTGGAGTTTCCAAGTCTCTAGTTAGGTTGGGGCAAAAGTGGCCTTAAAACATTTTAAAGCAAAGACTTTTGCCATTTGTTTCATTTATTATTCTTTTAACATTTATATTTCCGTGTTAGGTCAAGTGTTTGTTTTCTATCAGTTACTTTTTGGATGCTGTATTTTCTGTTTGGGACTGATGTCCCAAGGAGACAAATGTTTCTAGTAGCTTAGTTCTTCCTTACCTCTGTGTTTCTCCCTTCTTTGCTGTTTTACCCTTTTGTTTTTTTCTCTCGAGTGTAGCAGTGACAAAAAGAGGAGTAGCAAAGAAGTCTAATAGTCTGCATCAGAAGGCAAGACATAGGAAATCATTCTATGATTGTACAAGGCCATAGGAGAGCTTCGTTTTCAAGGCACCATGTCTAGTTTTGGAGGCCTTTTCTGTCTCAAGGGATTTTAAAATTAAGGCAGATGGTCCAGCAAAGAGATACCAAAATGATTGCCTACTCAAGTATTTTTAATTTTAATCTTCTAAAGATCATGAATTTATACAATTTGGAGAAGAAATGCTGGCTAAGTTTTATTGCATCTCTGTAGAGGGAGGGCCTAGAATAACCACTAAAGATTTTATTATCTCTATAGAGAGCAATAGATGAAAATACTTAAATACTTGTTAGTACAGTTGGGATGACTTCTGTTGAATGTCTGTGTACTGACATGCTTTGGTGTTTATTATCCAGCATCTTTGGAGTTACAGCTTAGCGTTTGTCTGTGCTAGAAAGTTATGCTGTGCTAACTTAATCTGTATAGCTAAAGTGGCAAAGATGGTCTTCTCAGACATGAAAGTCACTTTGAATTGCTCATTCTGGGAGAGTTTATCCTGTTCTGAGAAACAGGGTAAGTCATTGATAAGAACATTTTGGCCTGATAACCCATTATTCATGGGTTATAGTCCCAGTTCACCTGGAGAATCACTGCTTACCAATACACTTGCCTGTTCTCTTATGTAGACCACCAGCTCAGAGGTGCTTGAAATTGAAAGTTCCTAACAGTTATGTTTGGTATTGAAAAGAAATTTCCAGCCATGTTGTGGGCCCACGTGGTGCCTTTTTGGAATAATTCAGCCCCCTTGTCCTGGCAGTCCATGTGATGAAATTAAGAGGCAATTTCCTACAAAACATTTGTGGTTTATGCCTTTATCTTGCTTTGCCTAGCTTTTGCTGTCTTGTTTTGTTGCTCCTTGTGTTCAAAAATTTTGTGCTCCTGTCAGCTAATTTGACAAGTCATGCTGGAGCTTCCTGGATTTGATCTCATGGCTTTCCAGGCTTTTTCCTTGTTTTTTCCTACCTCCCAACCCAATTAAGCTTGTCCTTTTCAAGGCTATTGCTGAAGCAACAAATTTCAAAGTGTAATAAAAATAGTTTGGTGGGCTGAATTGCACCTCTTGCACATTATTGTGTTCAGTCTTCTTGTGGCCAATGGAACTGTTTTTGTCATCAAAGGAGCAGTAGCATCAAAATGAGAGCACTATCACGTAGCCTTAGGAAAGAGGAAACCAGGACATGTGGATGTCTCTTCTCCAGGGCTATCCAGAGGTCTCAATGGAAAATATAGTTAGAAAGCTGAGGTTGAAGAAACACCTCTGGGAGACATGTTTCTGGGATGTGAAAATGATTCTGAGCTCTGGTAAACAAAACACTGTCTTGCTTCCACTGTTTGGATTCCCTGTGAGGATTTTGTATGAATGCTGTCAAAACTGGGCTTAGAACTTTGTTTTTATGTTGTTAACAAGGAAGGCTTTTGCATGTGAAACAAACTGCTATTGTTATGAATTTATGACACAAAAAGAAGGGGAAGTGGATCTTGGTTTGTGTATATACAAAAAAGAAATGTGGCTGGCTGATCTCTGGTTATGTCTGAACTCCTGGAGTTTTGCTCTGGGTATGGCATATTTTGTGTTGCAAAAACTTTGGTAGTGAGAGCTTAAATTTGAAGTTTACTCACCTAGGCAATGCAGATGTTACTTTCCAGAAAACATTGTGAAATAGAGCAGAAGCACGTAGGTTTTCAGGAGCAGATTTGCTTTACTGTCACCAGAAGTATAGGCATAATTCTTATCATCAACCACGAACACTCATGCTTCAACTTTGCAAATCAAGTATCATGAAAATTGATCTGTGGTGTATTGGTCTGTGTTTGTTGATTTCACTTGTTTATGCCTACATTAAAGGAAGCATATGTGCTCTTGCACTGTGAGGCATGTATTTGGAAACAGGGAGGCAAGAGATACTATTCCTGTAGACTTCCAAAAGTCTGGTGGCTGATCTTCATTACTATAGAGAGGCTACTAGAAGGCTTCCTTTTGCTTTTGGAGATGACCCAGAGGCTGTTGAAGTAGGAGCAGCCCTGAGAAAAGGGTAGTGTGCTGAAACAAAGATGGGTATCTCACAAGTCACAGGGTTGTTGTTCGTTCAAAGTCTCCTTTAAATATACATTTACATTTCTGTTGAATATTCTCTATTTTCCCACTTGCTGTTACTACTGTTATTAGCATACTGATGCTCTCAAACAAGGGCTGAGAGTTCAAAACATGCACAACTGGTGAGAAATCCAGTGTCTTAGGTTCTAACACTCTTTTGCCTTGCATATTTTCAGTTGTTCATTTGCTGCTGGAGACAAACACCCTGTGCATGTGGGAATACTTACAGAAAGGCACATGAACTTACATACCTCAATATCTAAAACAGTCACCTCTGTATCTCTTAAAAAGATGTCACATTCCTTGACTTCTGATTGCCTCAGTGCATTACTTATGGTGTAAAAAGAGGTACTGCTGAGGAGCAAACTGGCTCTGCAGCAGCGTAGCTTTATGTGTGTTGAATGCATTGTAGACTTCACGGGCTTTTTTGTGAACCTTGTCTACGATATATAACACTACTAGCTAATGACTTGTTATTGGGACTGGGTGACCTGGCTACTTAAATACTTCTCTTCCAGTTCTATGCACTACTTCATGAGATCTTGGCTTCAACTGAAATATACCTTAAAAGTAAACTAGACTATATGTATGTTTTTAAATCTGTGTGTATACATTGTGTGTAAATCTGAGAGCCCTGTGTTCTGGATTGGGTACAGGTGTGCCTTCATTAAAAGCAAAAGTGGTAATTGTTCTACGTCGTATAAAGATACTTGTAATAGCAGTCCCCATCAGAAGGAGTTAGTCACTTAAAATGACCTTATAGACTGAGTAAAACTGCAGTAACTTGCCCTCTTTCTCAAAGCCTTCATGTATCTGATAGAGTTTGAATTCAAATGGGTACTTTTGCTGCTAAGCTGCTAGATGAACAACTGAAAACTGCTGAGCTATGTGGATATGTGACTCGTACTGGCTGACGTGCATCTGTGTTGCTGCTTTTGCTTTCAGATGTTACCATGAGTATCAGTTGGAGCACAAGGAGCTATGGTAATAGGAGTGTTTGGGAGAGCTGGGTCTTGTTTGAGAAAGGTAAGAGTGTGATGGGACTGGGGGAACTCCTGATGGAACAGAGTGAGAGTCGGTGATAAGTAGCCAGGCAAGAACACCAGGAAATGAGATACCTTACGTTCAAAGAAAAAAATACCAGAAGTTGAGAATTGGCAACTACAGAGAAGGAAACACCAAGAAATCCATTAGAAAGAAAAGTGTGCTGATTACTTCTGTAACCTATTACTGAATTAGGAGACATGAAGAAAATTCCAGAGTGCAGTTCTTTTGTGCAGAACATAAAAAATTAGGAACTATGGAAACTAAAATGAAATCCTGTGGAGAAAGAAGGTTATTATGTTGTGGTGAGTTAACTTTGGCTGGAAGACAGGTGCCCACCAAAGTCACTCTATCACTCCCCCTCCTCGACTGGACAGGGGAGAGGAAATATGCTAAAAGGCTCGTGGGTTGAGATAAGGACAGGGAGATCACTCAGTAAGTATGGTCACAGACAAACCAGACTCAGCTTGGGGAAATTAATTTAATTCATTGTCAGTCAAAAGTTGAGTAGGATAATAAAACCAATTCTTAAAACACCTTCCCCCCACCCCACCCTTCCTCCCAGGCTCAACTTCACTCCTGGTTCTCTCTACCTCCTCCCCCCTGGCGGTGCAGGGGAACAGGGGATGGGGGTTGGGGTCAGTTTATCACACCTTGTCTCTGCTGCTTCTTCCTCCTCAGGGGGAGGAGGACTCCTCACTCTTCTCCTGCTCCACCACAGGAGACAGTCCTTCACAAACTTCTCCAGCATGGGTCCTTCCCACGGGCTGCAGTTCTTCATGAACTGCTCCAGCATGGGACCTTTCCACATGTGCAGTCCTTCAGGAGCAGACTGCTCCAGCATGGGTTCCCTGTAGGGCCACAAGTCCTGCCAGAAGACCTGCACCAGTGTGGGCCCCTCTCCATGGGGCCACAGGCCCTCCCAGGAACCTGCTCCAGCACAGACTTCCCATGGGGTCACAGCCTCCTCCAGGCATCCACCTGCTCTGGTGTGGGGTCCTGCACAGACTGAAAGGTGGATATCTGCTCCACCATGGACCTCCATGGGCTGCAGGGGGACAGCCTGCCTCACCGTGGTCTTCACCACGGGCTGCAGGGGAATCTCTGCTCTGGCGCCTGGAGCATCTCCTCCTCCTCCTTCTGCACTGACCTGGGGGTCTGCAGAGTTGCTTCCTGTGCTCTTGTCTCTTGGCTGCTGTTGCACAGCAGTTTTTACCACTTCTTAAATATGTTGTCACAGAGGCGCTACGACTGTTGCTGATGGACTCGGCCTTGGCCAGCAGCGGGTCCGTCTTGGAGCCAGCTAGCATTGGCTCTGTCGGATATAAGGGAAGGTTCTGGCACGTTCTCACAGGAGCCACCCCTGTAGCCCCCAGCTACCAAAACCTTGCCACGTAAACCCAATATGAGGTGGCCTGGAATAATGAAATCTGGAATTATTTACGTAGATAACCAATGCACACAAACATTGCCTATCTGTATGTGCTTATCTCTCCTTTGACTGCACAGGGAATCTAAGCTCGTAATTTCGTCACAGCTCCAAGACAGATGCTTGAAGAAGGAAACACAACTACTTTACATAGGGTCTCCTGGGGCAAGATGAGGTGTATGAAGAGCTGGGTGAAAAAGCTCATGTAGGGGAGGAAAGTGAGCTCACCGCCTTGTATTGTTTTGTGTGTAATTACTTATGACTTAAGCAGTTTGCTGCCTAGAAAAGTTCTACAGCTGAAAAGGATAATGTATTTGATCCCAAAGGCAGTTTTTTCTGGGTTCCTTATCCTATAGCTTGCATGTAAAATTGAAAATGAGCTGCACAGCAGCCATTATTTTGAATAAAGAAATGTGTATGTACAGCAGAATCCTACTGATGTTCTCTAGGTTACTCACTAGTCAGAAATCTTAGGATACTGTATACAGTTGTAAGTTCGCCATGGGGGAAAAGTGTGGAATTGTAAAGAAAATAAAATTATGAAATTGAAAATGAAATGCTAAACCAAAATCTTTTGACATAGAGAGAGATTGATATATCGTCTCTTTTGCTTAGCTTTTGGGGGTTTCAGATTTTTAACTTTGCCCAGAAGGCTTCCAGAAAGTTGTGGGGGTTTTGTGGTGGTGGTGTTTTGTTTGTGTTTTGGTTTTGGGTTTTTTTTTTTTCCACACAGCAGACAGAAAGCAACTGCAGGACTAAGAAAGATGCAGAAATAATCCAGCTGTATAAATGGAATGTAAACTGTAGTGTTCAGACTGATCTGTGATTTGCAGTAAAATCTACTTATGAGTGACCTAATGCTCTGTCATTTGATAAAATTGCTGTGCTTTGTCTATTTTTTTGTAAATGCACAAGTAATCTGTTTTGATAGTCTTTGGGGGGCTATTGGGAGATAGATAGATTGGGATATTGGGATATAGATTAAATTTTGGACAGACCCACACAGTAAGCAAGTGCTTTGTAAAAGTAAATAAATAATGATGGCATTGATTTATTTATACATTTGGCTGTTAAAAAAATTCCCCATGTGGAGATAATGATAGAGATAGCATCAATGATGGAGGAACATATACTTGGGAACTTGGGAGGGGGAGAAAGAGAGAATAACTTGGTATTTCAGGAAGAAAAGCTTTTATTTTCTGTTGCATGCAGATCTACAGTAATGCAAAGTGAATTTGCATTTGAATGCAAACGCACAGATGCGGTGGCTTCAATGTGCAGATATTTTTTTGAACTTTACCTTTATTTATGTGATTCAGTTTGTTCATGAATCAAAGGAATAGCTTGGTTTCCACTCTATACCTGCAGTTTTGAGTAATCCTCACTATTCAGGAGACTGAAGCTAGAGGCCTCTCATTTCGAGGTTAGTGATCCTTCCCTCCTAACCCTCAGTATTGCAAAGCATAAGCTTGCCGGCTGGTAGACGCCAACCTCAGCTGCTGAATGTAATTTTTACCAGGCTCTGCTGTATGGTTTGCTCGTGTGGCCCTAGTGCTTTCCTCCTGTGCTTACGGTACTAGTACGTGTTTGGTGCTTTTTGCTTCATGTTTGATATGCACAAATACGATGTAAACTGTGTTCAAGGCATGTGATGAATATTAGGTAGCTTTTCTTTCTTATCAAGTAAAAAGCAGAAAACCTGAATTGCCCTTATCACCCAAAAACATTTTGTCATTTCACAGAAGTGTATTAACCCTGTCCTACAGAACTAAACATCTGACTACGGTTCTTTTTTTTCCAGCTGAACTGTTCATTAAAAACGCTTTAGCATCACCATTATTTTCAACTTGGAGTTCAGTCTCATAAGCTTCGTAGTATGGTTGCCAGTATTGGAGAGAAACAAGTTCCTGTAAAAAATGGGGGAGTTTCCCATCACAAGATGCTGCTTCTGTTATGAACATATTGTAGAAAACGTTGGCAGTTAGGTAAGTGTGAGGATCTGTGTCTAGAAATCCAGAGCATAGCTTAGACATTTGACTCTGGGAGAACTAATATTAAATGGCTTATTGAAGCAGGCTGCTGATAGTACTTGAGTATAAAATCTGGATTGTGCTTTTCTCTCTCAGAATAGCTCTTGAAAGGAGATCTAGACATAGGACTATTAGGAGCATTAAGCAGGGTATTCCAGTCTTTCCAATGGCTTCTAAGGGACTGTATTGAGAGCGGCTCTGTGTTGGGTTCTTATTATAGGGTACTTTGAACTTGTTGTAACATCCCATTATTGGCAGAAGTGGGAACCTTTTAATATTAGTCCCTGGGTTGAGCTTGTGTTTGTGAGGTGTTCTCTTCAGTTCCTTTTTTCCTAATGTTTAGCCTTGGCTACATATACCCTTGTTTATTTCCTTGGTACTCAGATCCTAACTCCTAATAATGTTCACCTACATTCCAGCTCATCTTACCATCTATCACCTCTGGGTGTCTTGAGGAGGAGGAGAAACAAAGACATCACTTCCAGAGGATGTACATAGTATTTTGTTTGCTGCATTCTTCTCTCTTAGCTTCTCCAGCCGTAACCTTATCTGCTGTTCTTTCCTCTAGTTTCAGTTTCCAGGTACCCGAGAACAGAATAGTCTGTCATATGCTAAGTGTTCAGCAATCTGAAGAAAGATCAGAGTTTCCTCAGTCCTTGTATCCTGCTAGAAATCAACATCTGACCCTTGGTCGTGTTCAGGAAGGTCATAGGCTTGGTACCTGGCTTCTAAACCAGGAAATAGCATGCCATGCTTTATTGCTTCATGGGGCAGAATCTTTTTACTTATATTGCTGTTGTGCTCAGAAAGGCTGTATTTTGCAAAGTGCTGCACATGGGTAGTGCAAAAAGAAAAGCTGGTAATCGAGCAGACTACTTTCAGAGTCAGGAGAAGGTGTCTCATAGATTCTATCTGGCTTTGTGCCAGGAGGTTTATTTTGCCCTGTTCAGGCACTTAGCAGTCTGTGATAGGCCTGCTAGGGTTGTGGAAAACTGCTTGTGCCCAGTAAGCCACACAATGTCAGTTAACAGGTGTCCTACACTGAGAGGGACTGCTGTCGGTCCTGCTGGTGATGTTCTGTTCTGTCTTGCAGCTTTACTGAGGCCACACAAAGGTACTGAAGTGCTTTCCAAAACCTGGTACCTATCTACAACTGGACTTAAAGTCTGGGGGGATGTTTGTGGAAGGTGAACAGTGGTTTTGGAACAAATTGTTCTTATTTTGTCAGATACAGGTTAGTCCTAGGTCAGTCTAGATCATACCTGGTTGCTACTCATGGCCCTCAGTAGATGCTTAAGAACAGAGTTTGAGTGAAGCACAAGCTAAGTAAATCATCCTATCATATGACCCAAGCTTCAGGAAGTCCTGGTAAGGGACTTTCTGAGCTGCAAGTTGTATCAGGCACATGGTGTTCAGTGGACTGGACTTTTTTTGAGGCACACTGAGTAACTTTTCTTTGTCCGCCTTCTTTGTGGCACTCATGTTATTCACTCAGTCATCTAATTTCTAAGCTGAAGAGTCCA